GCCACCTGCACATCTTCTCCCAGCTGCTGGCATCACAGTTTTCACAGGCCAGCCTGGCAGAGAATCGGCCAGTCCTGCGCCAGCTAGTGGTGCCAGGTGGGAGGGAGAAACAGTATAGAAATAGGAAAAAAAAAGAAGAAAAGAGTTGGATAAAGAGAACTTCAGATTCTTGTTTCTCCTGTTATGGCACCTCAATCAATGTAATCAATAAGAAACACTTGTTAGTTGTGCCATAAACTTCTGCTGTGCCTGCTGGTTAAAAGGTACCATGATGGGTACTGGAGCACACGTAAACTTTCATGATAGTGAAGCCAGAATCCACCTAACACTGAATGAATTATAAATTCTAGTTCCTCCATTCATAATGTCATAAGACACCATTCAGAAATTAATTCTGCTCCTAGAAGAAAACCAAAAGATTATACCAGATCTTGAAATTCCTTGTATATCAAATAAAGAATAGCTTTCACCATAGTTAAACTCAGTGTATTTCTAGCAACATTAGAATTCACTGAATGTGCACAAATCCTGTGAACAAAACTAATTAATCTCTTAAGATAATATTATTGTTGAGGAATTCCCACTTACTTTTCACTGACAAATACAGCTTCACAGAAGTAATCCTGGTTAACTAGAGATCACACAGAAAACCTAAAAACTAATAAAAAGAGACTCAACTCTTTAAGAGATTCTAGAGATGATTTTGACTGTGGATTACAAAAAGAGGAACTGAAGGATTAACTGAAGAACAATTCATTGCAAACAGTTCTAGCAGTAGATGAATGTAACCAGATTTCAGTGAGTACATGTTCGTGTGCCTGAGTCAGTCACAGAAAGAGTCATCCCATCTTCCCAGCACCCTGAAGAGCAGATACACTGTTCCCATTTGACAGGTGAAGACCCAGAAAGAAACTGTGCCACCCAAATTCTTCAAGTTTCTTATAAATCTCATAAAATAACTTAGTTTGCTACTTGACTTCTTATGCTGGAAAGAACTGAAAGATCGTGTTTTATGGTGCAGCATTTCTCAGATTTTAAAAGATTTATTTAATTGTCAAAATTAAATAAATATTACAGAATAACTCTAAAGAAAAAAATTGTCAGGAAACACAGGAGCAAAAACACAGGTATTTTAACAGCTCCTAAAAGGAAGGATCAAAGTTTCTATAACCTTGGCTTAAGACTAACTTGGTTGAGTAATTAGGCTTGATAACAGGATCCCACTGCCCGATGCATCTGTGGAAGAAAAACGTTGTACCCAAATGATTCCTCTACTCTGGGGCAGATGCCTCACTGTTACTGGAAGCAAGATATTAAATACAAATTCTTACTCCTACTCACAGGGATTTTTAATTCAGCAGATTTAGAGTGGCTCAAAAACTCTTTGTTTTGTTTATAACTTCCTTAGAGATTCTCTTGTTCAAGTATGTAGGCTCGCTGATTGTGTTAAGCACATTCTATTTGTACCAGAGCCTCATTCTTTCCAGCTCTGAACCTGATTGTATTAGTTATGGAAGTTTGGGCAAATTAAGTCAGATTTCTGAGCTTCACATTATATGCTCTAGGTTGAGGGAGAATTAAAGCTTGATTACATCTTGGCCACCGAACGGGGTCCTGGTTCACATGAGATCCAGTGTCTCACACCCGAAAGCGTTCGTGAATGCCTGTGACTTCACCACGGCAGCAGCTCTGAGGTGGGAGACAGGTTCTGAGCGCCCGTGCTCTGCAGAGCTCCGGGACCTCCGCCGCTGTCACCTGCATGGCTGGCTGGGCCGGGGATGTGCAGAACTGTCCCTCAGCTGCACCTGCCAGCCTCACAAGTCCCTCATTCAAACTCATTGCCTGTTTCACCTTTCCTTGTCTGCAGACCTCAGGATTCAGATCCTGCGATCTGCGTGCCTCCTTGGACTGGTATTTTCCTTGGACATTTGGGTACACCTTCACTCCTTCTCTTTCTCTTCAACCCCTCCATTTTTCTACATGTTTCCTGGGGTTCCATTTTGAACACTCATTTTAGCATTCTGCTTCCTTAGAATGAGCAGTCAGACCACAATCGTTCTATGAGTAAAGTGTTATTGTCATATGTACAATAGTAATAAAGGAAATACATCTTGGTGATCAAGCAGTCAGTGACCACGTTCCCTGGCCTGTAGACAGCACACCTGGGGTTTGCACCAGAGGCCATGAAGTCCCGAGTCCTGGGGTTATTCAGCTTGACCACTGAGCTCCCGGACACCCCAACAGATGGGAGCACAGAGGAAGGGTAGTTTTAGTTTATTATCTTTTTAATTTTTCCAGACATACGGTCATCAGAAGTAGGTGATGGCACTTTGTTTTTGAGATGGGTCCTCACTCAGAAAAGACCCTTCCATTGCTCAGATAACCACATCTCTCCCTGTCTACGCAGCCTCCAGTCTTGGGAGGAGGGCACATTTTTCTGGCTACTGATGTACTGCAAATCACAGCACTTACTCAGAATGATTTGTCTGTTCTTTCTCTAGGTCTTTTTCCAAGTCAACTTTTGGTATATCTTACAAGAATAAACCATGCTCAGGCCAGTGGAGCTGAAGGAAAAGCCCAAGGGTAAAATAAATCATTTTCTTTCTTAATCTTTATACCAATTTTTATGGTTACTGTGAGATTCCTTGAGTATCTATGTTGCTTACATTTGTCTAATTTGTCCCCAAAACTTAGGACAGACACTGCGATGACAAAATGCTCATCCAGGGAATACCTGGGGTTCTTTGGGATTTTTATACCAATGATGCACTGAATTTATATGAGTAAACAACTTGGAAATTACACTGAAAAACCATTTGTAATGTGCCTTATTATTGCATACATAATTTTTCCTGCAGCCCATTGATGTACAAAACAAAATGTTTGGGAGCTTCTGCTGCTTGCAAGGTTCACTGTTCCACACTACATGAAGGCAGGGCCACTAAATACGGTGTTTGCAGGACAAATCCATCATTGGTAGTGAAACCTGGGAGGTTCCTAAGGACCACAGAGTCCAGCAGCTGTGTGAACTGAGTCCTGGATGACAAGGGAAGAAGGAGCTGAGGGGGGTGGAGGACTTTGGAATCTGGACTTATCTCTTCCCCAGAGAGAATGCGTCCTCCTGACTCACCGTACTGGGGCCAAGCTGACTGAGCCACATGCACCCATTCTGTGTTCGTAGGCCTCCATGTCTCCTTCCACTGTTACGTTTCAAAGGGTGGGGAAAAGCATGTTTAGCTGCTTAATATTTCTGTGTATCTTACGGGCCGCCCCATATTTATCATCAGAGACACACCAAAGCACTTTACAAATAATGCAAGCCAGCTGGGACCTAGCAGGCCAAACTCAGTTGATGGTTTAATAGGAAAAAACATCTTTTTGTTAACATTTTTCTGCAGCATATCGCCAAAGAATGCACTGCCCCTTTCTGCATTTTTCAGAAAAGAACGGTCTTGCTAGCTCTGTGTTCGGGTTTCTGAACGCTAGGTGGATGCACCCTGTTGGCATGGTTTCTTTCGAGAACACATTCAGAGCTGTCTGAAGCATCTTCTACGCATCCTTGAGACTCTTTACTGTGGGTTTGAGGAATCTCCAGATCTTCCCACTAGCGCACCTCTAACGAACTTGCTTAGGGTCAGAATATATTCCCCTTTGGGGACAGAAGCTAACCTGTGTCCTCTGCTCTGGGGCAAGCACTGGCAAAGAATAAAGTAACTGGGAATGACTAACAAGAGGTTTGGTGTTTTTGCTCTTTCCTTTTGTGTTGATTCTGAGTCACAATTGATGGGTCAGTTCATCAGGAGTGGCTGCTGAATTTCAAAGAACAGGCCACATAGGAAAATTCCGTCTGTGCCCCCACACTCACTGATTTCCCCAAAACTCATAATCCTTTCTGCGTGTGAATCTTCACACAGGCTGCCCCAAAACCGAGGCTTGTGTCAAAATGTCCTCCTCCAGGGAGCCTGTTCTGTGGGCTTCACTTCGCCCCACCACCACTACCGACTAGTTTTTAGGGATACTCACAACATTTCATTGTCACAGTATTATCAGACAGCGAGATGCTTAAAATTCAAGGGCCATTCTTAATTACTCATTGCCACGGAGCCATCATGGAAGCTGGATGTAGTTCTATAACACGACTGTGGCTGCGCTTGTGACATCTTGGGAAGTTACTATATGCTTGCATAAGGTAATAAATGAGGCTCTAAAGTCAAAATTTTGTGGACTACACATTGCTTTAGAGCAACATATTATAAAAATAATTGTACTACCATGTACACAGCAGCTGGGTTCAGTGTGTTGTGAAATTTTCCCAGCAATGTCTTTCTGGAGGTGACTCTTGGTTGAAAGTTTTGGAGCTAAAAGGGCTTGCCTCCAGAAGAACTGTGGTGGGAAAACTTTATATGCACTTAGCTCAATTAGCTAATTTCGTCTTCTCAACAATCCTGAGGAAGTGGTTACTATTCACATATTACGAATGCATAAACTGAAACTCAAAACAGTTCAAATTCTGACTTGGAACTTTATCAGCATGCCTGAATTTAACAGCTATGTTTTTCTCTCTGCTATAAGGGAAAAAAAATTGGAGAGAAAGAGGGTGAACTTCATGAGTGACTACGCCAGGGAAGGAACTCCCCGCCAGGACCTGCCTGCTCCTGGCCCCAAATTGTCCTACCGCTGGGGAGAAGTCGTAGGACCCTGCCTGACCTCTAAGGACCAAGCCTGAGAGGTTTTCTTTGAGCTTGGCCCATCCCTTCGTAAACTCCAAGGGTCCCTCTTGCTCTTGGTCTCTGGGCATGTCTTTGAGCAGAAAAGCTGGTGCACAAGATCCCAGAGGCAAAGGAAAAGGATGATTCACTGTAACACGATGACTGCCGTTGGTGCAGCTGGGGAGAGGCATGGTTCCTGCCAATGTCCTCTGACGTCGCTTCATGCCAACCCCCAAAATAGAAACCCCTGAGAAAAAACAGGAGCACCCCTCAGAAACACAAGAAGTCTGCCGGGATTCAGTTACACATAAAGACCGGCTTCTGCTGCCTTCGCCCAGGCTGGATTCCCACCCAGTCGCCTCCTGCTGCCTGAGTCACACAGCAGCCAGCTCTGCTGTTCCAGTGAGTTTTTTCTTAGAAGTGCTTCCTGTTTCTTTCCCTTCCATCTATTACTTTCAATTTTCTTATTCTTCAATTTTTAATTGGCAAAAAGTAATTGTAATGTGTGTATTTTAATGCATGTGTATACCATAGCATGATGAAATCAGGGCATTGACATCCCCAGTCCCTCAAACACCATTACGTTGAGGTGGGAATATTCAAATTCCTCTCCTCTACTGTATTTTGAAAAATATGATTAATTGTTCTTTTATGGCAAATAAGTAAGCATCATGCATATAAGATTCAACTTGGCCAAAGTAGTATCATTTTCCACCTTTCATTTCCCACAATTTCATTGAAATAAAGTCTTTCCGGGACTTAGGAATACTTGCCCTCCAAAGTGAACTCACCAGCTAAAGGCAAAACCTCGGATACTGCGAGCTTGCTTGCTATTCCAAGTGACATTTCCTCAGATGTTCGCTGCCGTGCTCTGCAAACATAGTTATGCATGAAATAAAGTCAAAACAAAAAAAATTAAATAGCAGTTAGTGGTTGGATGCTATTTCCAGTTTGGAACCACTGACCAGGCAGATATAGAAAACTCTTTCCTCTGTTATTACAAAATAACAGTTTGTGGATGGTGCAAAGAAAACACAAGTGAATTTTCTTTTAACTTAAAATACAGAAGCTGTGTATCTATCATTACCTCCACGGTACAATACATTATGGGAGAAGGTCATTGTAACTTTAGAGGGGTTATTTCCATCCACATCTCTCATCCTCTCGAGATTATTATACCAGGCTGATGTCAAAGGCCATGCTAAAGAAAACACACCAAATTGGAGTAAGCTAATTAAAGAGAATGAGGCAGAATCAAAAGGTCAGAGCATGGGCCCGAGCCCAGCAGTGCAGCAGGTTGTTACAATGCGCCGAGGCAATAGTAGCTCGTCTTCTGCCTTCTGTGCTCGCCTTTGTGCTCAATCCTGCTTTACTGGTGGCCATCCTTTACTCAGAGAGCACACCTGTGGCCCTTGTTAAGCTCTACACAATCAATCTCACAACGAAAAATGCTCCCCCACCTTTATCCTTTGTGGAATGGGCTCATTACCTCTTTGTGCAGACAACGATGATATAAACAATAGCGTCTGTATTTACTGCTTCCTAGGTAACATTCTTTAAGCCACAGTGATCCTGTGACATGGTGCAGAAGTGCATTGGGTGTTCACGCTGTGTCTCACTCACCATCTCTACGTGGACTTGTGTAAGGGGAAGACTGCGTTTGCACAATCAGGGCCTAGGCATCCCGGGCTCTGGCTCACCTTAGTTCGTGGGGAATGAAGCAGCTGCCTGTGAAAGACCACGAGTCTCAGAGGGCTCAGCCGTGCAGCGATTGTGTCTGCTCTAAACACCAATCCAGAGCAGAACAGCGCGGTGGGCCTGTGGAAGTGAAAGACAGGCAGTGTGCCGAGGTCCTCCTCTGACTTGGTTTGGCGGCTTCAAGGGAAAACAAAGAGACCAGTTCAAATAGGTGTATCTCCACCAGTGGCACTAACTTGGCAAATGCATTTCCCAGACTTGTGAATACTGACTGCACTGTGAGGGGCAAAGTTCAAAGAGCTCCTCACTGGAAGATCGTGGCCATGCAGGACACCTTGGAAGCTGAAGACAGGACCTCAGTTGAGCCGCAAAGTTGGCATCATACAATTACTGAATGAGTCCTGCACCCACAGGGACACTCTGCTGTGAGCATACCGCTCAGGAGACCTCTGGATTCCTCTGGCTTTGGGCTGGAAAAGTGAGTAACTCTTTCTTTTTTTACCCCCTGAAAATCGACTAAAGGCAAGGAGAAGATATGCAAAGAAGCCGCACTATCCCTCACGGAACACCTCTAACCCAGAGTCACTATGCAAAAAGAAGGCTACCAAGGGAAACGAAGTGAAACCAAATTTGTAACCAGTAAATCCTAGAAACAGTACACATTCCCATCAGCTTATGAGTTGATAAAAATAGATGTGGGTTTTTAAAATACAACAGGATACTACTCAGCCATAAAGGAGGATAAACGAGACATTCTTAGGTTAATGCGTGTGCATTGAGAACATATTCATAAATGAAATATGTAAGAACAATGTAAATATCACACTGTTTCTTTGGTGTGAGAAACTGAACAGTAAACAGGGACCAAAGTGTATAAAAGTGTATAAAAGTGAAACAGGAAAAAAAGGTTCAAAAGGAAGGAGCCCTTGGGAGGAAGGGGGGGAAGGAAGAGGAGAACATTAATAAAAGAAGGACAAAATAGACTTTGGAAATGAGCAGAGGAAGAGTGGTGGATGGGGAGGTGGGACTGGAAAGAAAAAGAGAATACAGGATAGGTCCTGATAAGCACAGATTCCCTCCACGAATGGAATCGTTGTGTATATCTAAATTGTACTCATAAACTTAGCAAAAAAAAAAAATTTAAAAAGCAATAGAAGGTGCAGTAAAAGAGAACACTGGGCAATTGTGCTTGCTTTTAAAGGTCTTGGATCAGGGAAAGGTGGGCCCGTTGCCCCTCCTCTGGGAAGCCTCAGGACGCCCCTCTGGACACGGAGGAGCTGGCTGACACGCATCATCTCTGTGTGATGTCACTGTATGTGATGTCAGGCGATGGGCTGAGCAGCGAGGAGCTTCTCTCTGAAGAAGTGATGCCACTTACGGCAATGGCAAAAGCTGAGATGACGCCACCCAAAGGCCGCTTGGCTCTCCTCCGCTCACTGACACGTCCACACTTGTACCACAGGGACCCTGCAGTTTTGCTGTAGGTAGAGAGGGCTGGTTGTCCCGCTGTAAGTACAAAGCACTGAAGCGTCTGCATTCTCTAGCACTAAACTTGCCACACAATTCTTGCATCTCAGCTCATTCCACCAACCTCTTCTCCATGCAACCCATTCATAAATGTCTGGTGCATGAAGACTTCCTTCCACTCAAAGATGATGCTGAGAAAGATTATCTGTGCTACTATTCCTAATATTACTAGCAAGAAAGAAAAACAGTAAAACTTACTGTTAAATATTTTCAAACTATGTATATATTTTAAATTTTTTAAAAAATAAGAAAGTGGCTTTTAAATCAAAATAGCATACCATAATGCCAGAAATTTTGCCAAGAACTTTCCACAAAATTTAAAAAATTTAAATGAGGGCCAGGAATTTAGCTCAGTGGCATAAATGTCTGCCTTGCAAGTGTGAGGTCACCAGTTTGATCCAGGTACCAAAACAAAGAAACAAAACAATTAAATGAAATGTGGTCTCCAGGCCCATGTGAAGCTAGAGAGAATCAATAAAAGTGTGATATACCAAACTTGTAGCGCTGCTTAAAAAATATAAACCTTAGGGAAGATCATCAGAGAAAAGCTGATACAGAGATAACAGACAAATGTTTCTGAAAAATATTAGAGATAAGGACAGGCTAGAGCAATCTGAACCAAATAAGTTTTAAATGAGTTCAAAAAGTTAATGGGGAGGTGTTAGATCACAAGACTTACAAATTAGCACACATATATGGTGTCCCTGAAGAAAAAGCATAGGCCAAATAGAGCAGAAAGAAAATATTCAAAGACATATTTCAAGAAAACTTTCTCGAATTTAGACATACTAAAATTGTTAGGGAGAAATAATACAGATCAATTAACATCAGTAAGTATCCTAGTATCTTCATGTTATAGAGTATGTAAAAAAATCACCCTGCACCCACACCCAGCAAAGTAAGTGAAATAATCTACAAATTGGTGGAAGCATTTGCTCTTCATTTTGTCCGTTTCCCCTCCGAATACCTGATGCATCTGAACACACCTAAGAGACTCTTCCCCACGTGGGTATTCGAGGGGAGGGCAGTGCTGGGGAGATGACAGCCCTCTTTCCCAGCTGAACTTGTGCAAAAGGTTCACAGTTTCACCCCAGACTGGTAAAGCAGGGGAGAAGTGGAGAGAAAAGAGAGACCCTCCTTTGGCCCTGGCCACACTTGCGAGGTAAAGGTCACGTTTCCGACACTAAGAGCTGACAGAGGTCAGGAAGCAGCAGCGCTGAAACCTGTAGCATCTGCTGGTTGGCAGCAGTAGCTACGGGTTCTATTTTTGGTTTGTTTTAATTGCTTTTGTTTTTATCATCATGTGCAGGTAGTTGAGTTAATTACACCCCCAAGATTATAGCAGTTGATTCAAATGTAGTCACTCTTATTTAAATTATGCACTTATTCCCTTTATTCACCCCAATTTTTTTTTAATTTTATTTAAAAGGAAAAAGAGAAAAACACAGAACAAAACAAAGCAGTGTAAGGGTACAAGTAATACAGAACTACAAAAAAAAAAAAAAAAGACAGTAAGAAATCACCAGTTAATAGATTACATATTATCATGTTAGAAATAGTTGCTCAAGTCACAGTATCAAAGAATACAAAGTGGACATTCAAACAGTGAGACTGCAAACAGTTGTGTTCAATGATCCAAACAAAAACATTAATATGGTCAGCTATTTAACACCCCTAAACACACTTGCTGTTGTATCCTTTAGAGCTCTTTTTTTCCCTCTCTTTTTTACAACAAAATTTACACATTTTGGGTTTTATTACTCCTTAGTTCTTATTACTTTTTTGGGGGGGAGAGAATAAAGTCAAATATGGCAAAACAAAGCTGTCAGTCAAAACCAAGGATAGACATAGCACATGATGTAAAACAGAGTACAAGGTTATCAACAATGGTTATCAACGATGTCTCTTGTTTCCTTAAAAAGAATTGTCTATCTCATTAGACATTATAAAGTTGAACAAAACAGTAGAGAACAAGACCAATAAAACTTAGGCATTGTAAACATCACAGGACATCCAAAGGAGACAATAGTCAAACCAGAATGGGCGTCTTAGTGAATCTTATTGCCTTCAAAGTAGTTGCCTATACCCTCAAACTTGATACTATCATACAGAATGGAACAGAGTCTAATCAGTCAAAACCAGATCATGGGAACATTACAGGACTTCAAAACAAGTTAATAGGAAATCAAAAAAAGTTACTATTATACCTCCTGCTAATTTTTAAAATTTTTCCCCTTAATTAAAACTAACATAAGAAATAACTAAATAATTTTTTTTAAAGAATAAGGGAGAGATTGAGATAAAACAGGACATAACAATATAACAATACAGGTCAAAGCATGACTGTTTCAGCAACCTAGTGCTTCACCACCAAATAACCCGACTTAATAGTAGTTACCATAGTGTCTGTCTTTTTCCTTGAAATATTTGAATAAAACTTCATACACTATAGCTTCAAATATTTCCATATCAAGAAGCCCAGAATAAAGACTTTCCAATTAATAAGTGAAAACTTTATAAGGCTTCAAGGCCACATAATGGGGAATCATGATTACCACATATTTTTATATATTTGAATCATTACTTACATTAGGGAAACTATTCGGTATTCACACATGCGAGATTGATTTATTTCACTTATGAGTATGGTCTCAAGCTGCACCCATTTATTGATAAATATCTCAATGTGATCCTTCTTTATAGCTGAATAATACTCCATTGTATAGAAATAGCACAACTTTTTTATCCATTCCTCAGTTGATGGACACTTGGGTTGTTTCCAAGATCTGGCGATTACAAATTGTGCTGCTATAAACATAGGTGCACATATATCACCGTGGTATGATGCTTTCAGTTCTTCTGGGAATATGCCTAGAAGTGGAATAGCTGGAATAAACGGGATTTCCAATCCCAACTTTTTGAGAAATCTCCAGACTGACCTCCACAAAGGCTGTACCAGTCTACACTCCCACCAACAGTGCAGGAGAGTTCCTTTTTCCCCACATCCTCTCCAGCATTTGTTGTTGTTGGTTTTCTTGATCCTGGCCATTCTTTCAGGAGTGAGATGGTATCTCAGTGTGGTTTTAATTTGCATTTCTCTAATGACCAAAGATGATGAACATTTTTTCATGTATTTATTTGCCATTTGTATTTCTTCATCTGAGAAGTGCATATTCATCTCAGATGCCCATTTTTGGATTGGATCTTTGAATTTTGGGGGTCTGAGTTTTTTTTAATTCTTTATATGTTTTAGACAAGAGTCCCTTGTCTGAGAGAGAGTTCACTAAAATCTTTTCCCAGTTTGTGGGTTTTCTTTTCACTATGCTGGAGATTTCTTTTGACATGCAGAAACTTTTTAATAAGAAGTGGTCCCAGTTATTGATTCTGGGAAGTATTTCCTGTGCAGTTTGAGTCCTGTTCATGAATTCTCTACCTACTCCTATGTCTCCAAGGTTTCTACCCAATTTGTCTTCCAATAGATTTAGTGTTTCTGTTTTAATATTCAGATCTTTGACCCATTTAGATTTTAATTTAGTACATGGTGATAGACATGGGTCTAGCTTTAGTTTTCGGCAAATGGAGAGCCAGTTTTTCCAGCACCATTTATTAAAGAGACTGTCGTTCTTCCAGTGAACCTGCTTGGCTCCTTTATCAAAGATAAGGTGGTTGAGTGTGTTTGTAGTTGTGGTTGTATCTTCTAATCTATTCCATTGATCTTCGGCTCTGTTTTGATTCCAATACCATGTTGATTTTACTACTGTTGCTTTGTAGTATAACTTCAAGTCAGGTATTGTGATGCCTCCTGCTTTGTCTTTGCTGCTTAGAATTGCCTTTGCTATTGTAGGTCTCTTCTGGTTCCAGATGAAATTTAGGAGTGATTTCTCTAGATCTCTAAGGTATGTTGATGGTATTTTTATTGGGATTGCATTGAATCTGTACAACAGTTTTGGGAGAATGGCCATCTTCACAATGTTTGTTCTTCCTATCCATGAGCAAGGGATGTCTTTCCATTTTCTGAGATCATCCTCAATTTCCTTTTTCAGTGTATTATAATTTTCACTGTATAGGTCTTTCACTTCTTTTGTAAGAGTAATTCCTAAATATTTCATTTTTTTGCTTGCTAATGTGAAGAGTGCAGTTTCTCTTATTTCCCTCTCTGTGATTTTGTTGTTCGTGTATAGGAATGCTATTGATTTCTGAGTATTGATTTTTTATCCAGCCACATTATTGAATTTATTTATTGTATCTAAGAGTCTTTCAATGGAGTTTAGGGGATCTTCTATGTAGAGTATCATGTCATCCGCAAACAATGATAATTTAAACCCCAATTTTCTGCCTTCACTCTGCTCTGTGAGTAACATTATCTACATGAGCAGGGGTCTGTGCCTGGGTGGTGTGTTTACTTTGTTTGGAGGTGTGTGATTTTAATGAACAGGCGCTTTCTGCTTCTTATTACTACACGTCGGTATCAAGCTCTGCATTGCTCTCTACAGTGCTGTCCACACGTCTAGTCCTACTTCTGCTTTCTCTCCTTTTCCACAGCGTGCATCCCTTCACCCCAGAAGAGGAAAAGCCCACCCTCTCCTCTCCTCCATCCACAGCGCTTCAGCCCCCGTGGCTCTGCATCCTCTCCCGAAGTTTCCCGGGCTCCTGCCCTGGCATAGGCACCCACAGAGCTCCTGAGAGAGCTCTGAGAGAGCTCCCACAGAACTGAGAACCGACGAGCACTGCCCAGAACAGCAGCTGCAATGGGGTTCGTACAGACAGTGCATAACGTTTCTCTATGCTTTGGGCCAAAACTGGCAATCATGAGGGTTCTAGCTGGTTGGTACTCATGACATGAGATTGGATTCATGACCCTGCTCTTGCCAGGCAGGTGCTCGTGCCACTGAGCTACATCCCCAGCCCAAGTTTTCTAGTTTTTGACAATACAACATTAATTTCCTACTTTAATTTGCATTTCTTACAAAACCAATAATATTGGCCCTCTATACAAGGGTCATTTTCTATTGGACTATCTCTTTCTGCCATTAGGTTGAGAACTTCTTCATATACCCTAGATATTCATTTCTTGTGTTGGTGATGGGCAGTATATCTCCTCCCATTGTCTGAGTCTTGTCTGTAGTGTTTCTCTTCTAATCAAAAATATTTAGTCAGATCTGTCTCTTTTACTGATTGTACTATTGGGCTTTGCTAACCAACACTTCCGAAGGTCTGTAAATAGTATGCTTATATTCTTTTTTAACTTCATTGTTTTACTTCTAACATAAAGATTTTAAACTCATCTCTGTACACATTAGTAAATAAAGAACAACTTACAGTTTTGTTCATAAAGTAGGTCAATTTCTTTCTGCAGTTTTTTCTCATTAGTTTTTAAAATATTTATTATATTAATTCACCATATTTATATAAGTCTAATTATGAATTCTGTTATATGATAAGTTTGTCTAGTATGTTAGTATTCATTTTTGTTCATGTTACACATTTTAGTATGTTTTACTATGAATGAGTACAATTTCCCTTACTTTATTTAGTATAAAATTTAATCCAGATATTTATTGATCTTGATTTTTTACGTATTATTTCTATACAACTTATGCAAAAAGAATAGTTTATTTTAAAACGCTATTTTTAATTAGCATCACATTGTCTTGCATGTTAATTTGGAGAATATTAACTTTGATGAAATCTCATTTCACATGAAAACACTGAATATTTTTCTGTTATATATTTTTATATGCTTTAAGAGGTAAACATTTTCTCCATAGTGTGGTGAATTTTTAAATTTAGATCACAGACAGTTTACTGCATTCTTACTATAAAGTATACTGTTTTTAATTATATTTTCTAGTAATTGAGGCATAGAGAAATTTAATGTATTAAGTATAATAAATGATGACATTAAGAGTGATCAACACTATATTTTCTAAATATTAACAATATACATAAAGTATTTTTTAATATAACAGTAGATATTGGGCTAAGGTTTTTAAAGCTTTCACAATGCATCCTTAACAAATGTATGTATATTTTATTGCATGAATATTGTGAATTATATTAATAGACATTCTTAGAATAGACAGTGACTAACCTTGCTCTGTTATTTTTAACTGTACCATTAGATCTGATTAGTTGTATTTTAATGATCACATTGAGATGTAATTGACACAGAGTGAAATTCACTTACTTACAATATGCACTAATCAACCTTGTGCTTGTGAACAAATCCATCAGCACACTCAAGATAGCAAATATGCATCCTCCAGAGACTCCTCAGACTGCCCCAGGAGCCCTGCACCCTACCCCACCTGATGCCCACCCCTGGCCACCCACTGGCTCTTTTTTACTGAATTGAGTTATCATCTACCAGCTTGGGGAGTTTAAAAATATATTCTGTATAAAATTATTATTTGACATATGACTGAAAAATATTTTTTTCTCAGATTGTGGTCTGATTTTTAGAAATCACATCTTTCATGGAGCAGAAGATTTTAATTTGAATGAGGTTCAGTTTATCATTATTTTTGCTTATGGGCTTTTCAGTAAGAATGTTTGCCTTATGTAAGTAATTAAACTTTCCAAGTTTTTTTTTAGAACTGTTATAGTTTTAGATTTTACATATAGATTTGGCATCCATTTGTAGGTAATTTTATATATAAAGTATTAATTGCAGTTTATTTCATGTTTTGAGCATGGATATCCCATAAATTCTGCATCATTAATTAAAGAAAAAATTGATCTTTATACTCCTATGAAAAAGTTGTTGGTAATGTAAGTGTGATTTTATTCTTGGGCCGTTTATTCCATGTTAAGTTGTTCTATCGCCTATCATTATACAGTGCTACAGTCCATGATTAAGAAGCTTCATAGTAGGCCCTGAAATAAGGTAGCTTTACTTCTCCAATTAGGCTCTTCTTTATAAAAATCGTACTACTTCAGGCCTTTTGAATTTACATTATGTGCATCAGAATCACTTGGTCGGTTTGAGAAAAATGTCTGCTGGGATTTTGACTGAATTTGTCTTGGAACTAGTTCAATTTACAGAAGACTAACATTCTAATGAGTTATGTCTTCTGACCAATCACACAGCTTATTGGATAATTCACTTAGGGTTTAATTTCAATTAACAAAGTTTGGCAGTTTTCCACAAATATGGTTTGCATATTTTCATAAGATTTATTTCTTGGGATTCGTCTACGAAGGTAATCATGGTGTCAATACATAAAAATAAGATTCTGATTCTTTTCTCTCATTTGAATGTCTTCTTATTTCTTATTCATTGTGCTGGCTGGAGCCTCCGTGAGCAGCGAGAGGGTGAGCACAGGTGCCCTCTCTTGTTACTGGCTTCCGCTTTGAGTCACTGGCCATACGGAATTAAGAGGTGCTAAGTACCTGCACCCACTCTCCATGATGAATGCAATCTACAAGGACTGCAAATATTTACAATAAAAAGATTTTAAAAGCAGAGTTTGATGCATACAAAAAAGTTAAGGTGCTGACAGTTTTTCTCAGGGCCCTTTATCAAGCTGAAGCAGCCTGTTCCATTACTTGTTTTGTTGAGGGATTTTTGTTTGCTTATTTGTTTTTAATTAGGGATGGTTGTTGGATTTTGTCAAAAGCATTCTCCACATTCTTCAAAACTAGAGATTTTTGTTCAGTAAAAGTAAAATTTTCATGTCAATGTGTCAGAAACGTCAGTTTTCGTCAGAACATCGTGCTGTGAGGCAGTCCGCACCTGTGTGTACCTGTCAGTTCAGGCTCTCCGGACCGCTGCCAATTTCTCAAAGCAGTATTTCACATTCCCAGATTTCTGCATTTTCTCTTTGCCTTGTCTCCCTTTCTAAACTCCTGTGAATACTGAAATTATATTCTCTGCATTTAAATTTTTCACATATTCTGTTTTCATTCTAATGGTTATTGACCGTTCACATGCATATATTCTATTGTATGTTTTCATTGTCTTAGTTTATGAAAACCTTTTTTCTCCAATGAAAAAGAAAAGTCTTACCTTTTTTCAGTTATCCTAGGCCTATATATCTAAACAATTTCCTAACATACTGCAATAAAATAGTAAAACTACCATTGCAAACCAATAAATAATGATATGTTTAATAAATAGCAGTGGCATATTTACCCAGTGGGAGAAATATGGGTTTAAATAATTATATTTCTTTTAAAAATATTTTTTCTATGGTTTAGAAATCTAAATTTAAGGAAGATAATAATACAAGAGTTGAACTAAAAACACTTAGAGGAATATTGATTTTATGTCAGCTTTCAGCTAAATAAGAAAACAGAAACTTATTTCTGCCATGAAATTATGGCAGATTTCTTGCATTCCATGAAATTTCCTGAAAAAAAAATCACACAATTCGTTTACTGTGTATCTGTCATAATGAATAAGACGTTGCTAATTGCGTTTCTTTTATTTTCCTGACACATCATGTAACTTTTACCACATAACTAAAACCTTGTTTACTTCATCTGTCAATTTTTAAATTTCTGTTTTTTCTTTAATTTTTTCACCCACTGACATGGTAGAGTTCACGGTGCTGCTCCACCTGCCCCAGAGCACCCTGCTCCTCCTACTTCATTTTTCTTGCTCGTCTTTATCATTCACTTTTTGGAGCATACCATCTGGAAATCTCCCGAGAGCGCTGCCTGAGAGGTTTCTGTGTTGTTTTTATGTGTTCCGATAACTTAGTTGTATGTGGAATTTTAGACTTGGGCTGTTTTAGTCCCAGATCTTGGAAACAGTGCTTTCAGGCCTCAAGCATTCATTTCTGGTGCTGAGTTTTATTTTCATCTTCCAGAATTAACATACTTTTGACTTTTAAAGATTTTTTCTCCTTACTAGGTTCACTTTCATAGTATACGTACGAAAGCACACGGATAATACATAAATTAGTGAATCATTCTGTACTTCGGTTAAAGGTTTAGTCATTATCTGCTGTGTTCTAAAATACTAACAACTGTGGCAGGAAGGGGAAAAGGAAGGAATGTGTGTATCTGCAAGACAGTTAAGGCACTGAAAAGGAAGGCCGTGCTAATGTTGTCTGGACACTATTTCAAGCCTGTATCTTGCGCTCTAAGCACTACTATAAAGATAAAAATACACAATGTATTGATTATTGTTAGTCTCCTATTAGCCTATTTTGAAACTTTTATTTTATTCTTATTTTTATTTTTTCTCTCTTTAAAATAAAAAAAATAAAGTACTAAAAAGGAAGGAAAGAATTCAGGTGTGTGTGTGTGTGTTATTGTGTGTTATTGATGATTCTTTTGGATTGAAAAATCTGATCTTTCTATAATTCTGGTCAGTTATTTTTCATTATATACTTTTAAAATTTCCTTGTAATTTTGTGTGCCTTTTACAGAATTTTGTTAAACAGCAAATTCTATTATTTCTCTAGATAGCTTTTCTACATTGTTTCATATATAATTTGTGCTCCTATCTAGGAATATTTTCCTCAAATTTGCTTTTAGCCTTTCCACTGAATTTTAAGTTCCAGCAAATTATTTTTAATTTCCCAGATTCTGTTTTATTTTCAATTTTTCCCTTTGTTACTATGGTCTTATTTTGTATACTCAACAACGTTCGCACACCCACCCAGTGTTTGTGACTGCTTGGAAGCTCACTGTGCTCCATAAATTACCATTTTCTGGGGTTAACAGGTCTGCAGTTTTTCAGGGTTCACCTCCATTGCTCCTCCTCATCCTTGTTTGTATTTCCGGTGAAATGCTGTTTGTCTGTGTTACTTAGGAACAAGGGCATTGCTGATGTTTCAGTGTGGCCGGAGTGTGGTTTTCCTGGGTGCCTTGTTCCCGGGCCCCCTGGGAGCTGGCATCTAAGGAAGCACTTGTCAGCCAGGTGGTTCCCCCAGGAGCGGGGAGCAGTGAGCGACTGGCATCTGAGGCAGAAAGCCATTTCGGGGGCACATGGTTCCCTCAGCAGTCCTGAAGGCCAGTGCTGGTGTCCATACTGACACTGCTTATGTTGGCCAGGCAGCCCCTTGCGCCAGGTGGGCACTGAGATCCCCAGAGCCAACAGCATCACTGAGCAGGAGACCACGGTTCACCGGACCCTCCCTTCTGGGCCTCTAGCTTGTACCTGCCAATTCTGAGCTGGTCCCCCTTCTGTTCTCATACAGATTAGACCTTACGGTGTTCTGTGAATTTAGAAGCCAGTGTGGAGGATATATAAATAAAATACACAAGTAACCAAGCCGACTGGCACTGTAATTTCAAATAATGGTTATTACATGGCAGAAATAAAGTAAGGTGATGACTGAGGATGGGACTCTGCTTTGCTTTGGTCTCAGGATGAAGTTCAGTTTTA